CAGTGGAAAATGAGATGAGGAAAGAACTCGCTTCTCGCCGCTCACAAAACGGAGACGAGCGTGCATGTGTTGTCTGTACGGCATGATTTCTGTGATGTAAAGTAGTAATCAAATACGAGGATAGCACGACGTTCGCACGCATTGGGATCTATATTTTTTATAGATTTCCAGATTTTCTTTGCCACTTCCTCTCCTACGAAGAGAAATAAAAGCGGGATATACGAGTGATTGTTGAGAAACTTTGCGATTTCTCAATGAACTGTTCCGAAGAGGATCTCTTCAAACGCGAGTTCGAGTATAAGTAATCACTCGTCGCGCCGAGATCGTATTTAAATTTTATGAGCAAAAATGGATTCGTTCGTGATAATTGAAATGTAACTGACGTCTCTTAATGATGAAAATAGTTTTCCCGATCGATACATAAATTACGCGTTTCTACCGTCAGACTTCCGTTTTCTGTATAAGACAAAGCTTGAATTGTTTCCGCTTTCTTAAGCGCTTTCTCGCGACGTGATCGAAGGAGGAAAGAAATCGCAATTATCAATGTGTTCGTTCGACGATGGAATATTTTTTTCTTTTCTATCATTTCCATTGAAATTTTTCTATGACATCGATGTCAAGTGGCAATTACTAACCGATTCACTTTGCTTTCACGAGGTTGTTGAATTTCAAAAGTACCTAATGACGAAGTGAAGACAAACAACGTGAGAATGAATATAAACCGCATGAAAGAAAATTATTACGATAATGATGATATGTTTGATGATAACAATTAACATCATACTTCGCATTAATTTGCATCGCATTAATAAGATTACAGGTTTGCAACGCGAGTCTGCTTTTCCATCGTGTGTCTCTCGCACGGAGGTGAAACTCCATAAAAGTACTCGGTATATCCCAGAAATTATATTGGCACACGAAACAGATTCATGTGTTGAAATTCAAATGTTTTTTGAGAGTTCAGTCAATTCCTGTTGATAATAATGATATTCCAATGCTATCCAAGATAACGAAAGAGCGAGACTGATGAAAGCGCGACGTGTTACGTAATACATAAACTAGATATAATGCTATTAGTTACTCGTTTGCATCATACGATCAAGGCATGGCCTTTCTGAGTAATGAAAGAAAAATTTACGATACGCGAACATGAGTGTACAGAATTATCGTGAGTGATACAGTTTGCGTTACATGGCACGCATTTTTACAACACATTTTAGACACACTTATACGTATATATACACATGCAAGTTATACATATGTGATAAAAATATTAGCCGACGTGTGCTATTCTTTCGACACGGAAGCGCTGATTGCGTAGCATCCCATACCGGATAAATAAACGAGTACCGTAGGATCACATTAGAATAAATAACATATATACATAATTTTTTACGAGATAAAACAAAATTCATATTTTAGTTAAAAACCTGCACCAATTAATCTGTATTAAATGGATATTAAATAGTATTCGGTAATAAATGGATTTAATTCTAATAAGAATTTTCTTATTACCTAAAAATATTTATTTTTCTAAAATTTTCAACAATAAAATTCTTGTTCAATCACTACCATTACTATCTTATATTATCGCAAGTCAAAGCGAGAAAATATGTAATAAAAATTCTTGCAAAATATACAATATGTAAAAATATATATTTACAATATTATAAAAACAACATAATCGATAAGATCAACTTCTCATTGCAAAATATATCGAGCTTTTCTTTTGTAAAATAATCATGTACCTGAAAATTAATTAAATCAAAATCGAAATGAATTATGTTCACAACTATGACAAATTGTCAAAATAATAATAGAAATAAATCTAATTTAATTTCTTCCCGAAAACAAGAAGGTAATTTTTGGTATATTTGATAAGTCTATTCTACCGATTGCAAATATTGTTTTATTAAAATATATTTCTATTCAAATATAATTTACAAGAGTTTATATTGTGCTGTCTCACTTCTGACATGAGAATCTGAGATAATAAAGGCCATGGCACGCAAAAGAAAACGCAAAGCTATAAGACGTAAGCAATAAGGAAATCACAGAGTCATAAGACAATAACGTAAGCAGTAGCCGAGAGGTCAGTCAACCAGTGCTAAACAAAAATGTACAGTAATTGCTAATTATAGCAATACAACACACTTTAATGCTAGTATTACTATTATATTGTTTTCCTATATATTGCCATCTATTGCGCACGACATTGCTAAGTATTATTAATATATTGCTATATACTGCTATGTATTGCTTATTTTATTATGTACTGCCGCATTTCTAAAGAAATGTATACTGATTGACATAATGATTGACCCCTTAACACTAGCAAATTTAAAAATGTTGATTTGCTCTTATTGCTTACATTTTACTGCTTAAGTTTTTTTGAGTGTCCTAGTTTTAGTCATTAACATGTTTACTACTGATTAAATATAACCTTTATTATCTTTACTATAATTTAATTCGTTTACTGTTTAGATTTTGCTTAACTTTTTTGTGTGCCACAGCCTTAATGGCGAGTAAGCCTTGAGCGAAATCTTTTTTACAAAATTTAATCGAACAGCTATTGCGAATATAAGTGTAAGAAATTGGTCTGGCTGCTTATAATTGGCATTGACTAATTAATTATTTTTAAACAAAATATTGTTTCATACTGATGTTAAAATAAATGCAATCAGTTGTTTAGTAAGCGACTCCA